TAATCGCAGATTCAATTCCAATTCAATATCGAATGAGCTCATAAAATTGTCATTGGCTTTGTTTACGAGTTGAGGTAGATTTTTTAATTATCTACATTAAATATTTATACGTTTTATGAAAATATTGCTAATTTAAACATTTTTTATACAAAATATTTTTGAGTTTTAGTTAAAATTCTAGTCTATATTGATGGTTGAGCTGAGTCTGTCTATAAAAACTATTATTAAAATTAAAACTGAATTTTTAAAATATATTAAAATATGTGAATAATAAATAATATGTATACAAAATATATAAAAAATATATAAACTGAAATTCAAGAATTTATTTTTTTTTTATTTATTTATTTGTTCTTCTTCCTTAATATATATAAAATTTCCATTAGAAGTACTCAAGACAAAGTAACTTCCACACACTATTATTGGATTGCGCAATGTTGGGCATTCATAGGTCCGTCATACCTTGCCAAACTATATTTATTGTCAAAATCGCGCTCCCTTATCAATTCGGTAATGCCATGAATCATTATCAATGCTTATGAAAATGTTGACGCCTTTTGGCTGCTCGTTTCGTGTTGCGCGCAGCAAATCAAAATTCCATTAAACTTTTCGGGTGCCCGCATAATTTTGCAACATTTTGCGGTTGAACTTTACTTTTTGGCACTTTTTTACAATGCTGCGCTGTGGTTTTTAATTAAAATTTGTTTGCTAACATAAAGCTGGCAACGTTTCGCTGCTCGCTGCTCGCTGCCATTTGCCATTTGCCATTGTTGATTGTTGTTGTCTTGCGACGCGCTGGCTGGGCTGGGGCAAATATGTCTGGCCGTCTAATTAGGAGCGCACATCCACAGTAAAATTACATTGCGTATACGCAGCGTGTGCCTTTCAATAATGCCGACAACATTTTGACAGACAAGAGCCGAAAAGGGCTGCACACAAGACTGAAAGAGGGTTGCAAAAGCCAAGCCAAGCAAGATGATAAAACAGAAATGAAAAGGAGTGGGCGAAACAGACAGACAAAGCGAGAAAGGGAGAGAGATAGAGAGGGGGCAGGCATGTTGGCTAATTGAAAAAATACATTTTAATAGCATAATTTTTGGCGCTGCGGTTGTGACAGCTTTCAAATCGCTCGTCTGGCGGTTGCGATTGCTGTGGTTGTGTAGGGTTCGGATGTGGGCTGCTCTCATTATTCGCCTCGCTATCACCTGGCCACAATCTGAGGTAAGATGTCACGCGCCTAACGCTACTTCGATGACATCAAACACTATTCAAATGAAATTCGTCTTTGATTAGACGATTTGTATGCCCAAATCAGCGCCTTATGTTTAATAAAGGAAATTGCTTCGCGGGGCAACATTTGTATTGGTTGTGCATGCCAGCAGACGTTGCCCACAGCTAAATTAAATTAAAAATTCAATGACAGCGCATTAACAGCGTCCCGTCAGATTGCTGCTCTCATCTCAACAGTCTGACAGGCGATTGAACAAATTTGTTATACCAAATAATCGAACTGTGTCGGCTGCTCGCCGGGTTCATCTTGATGGTTTGCTTTAGCATCAGCTTTTGCTTTTGCTTTTGCTTTTGCTATTGATTTTGCGCCTCAAGTTGAGGCGTCAAAGTACACTCAAAGCTGCTGGATTCAGCTCTGCGGTATGTGGCCTGAAAACTGTGAGCTGTGAGCTGTAAGCTGTAAGCTGTCTGCTATGTGAAGGTTTAGTCTAAGCGCTCACAACGCACACGGCAGACACTTATTGATGTATTTCTTTTTGATTAAATATATATTTTTTTCTCAGAAAGAAATGTACTTGAATTAATGCAAAGGCTTAAGCAACGTTTTCATAATAATATTTCTATATTTAGCTCTGTCTGCTTAATCATCAGATGCGGCAGCTTCTACCTTAATTTGCAGCTATCTCATGTTTGTCTCTCTGTATTTGTATCAATTAATTGATATTTGAAACTGCCTTATTTGTATGAATTTATATAATATCTGCATCTTAAAGTAAATATACATAATAATAAAATTATTACACTTTGAGTGTTGCTCTGGTGACAAAATCACACCTGTTCAGCCGCCCAGGCTTTGATTATGAATTTCATTCAATTAAATGTAGAGTTTCTTGTGTCATTGTCACAATTGTTGCTGCTTAGCTGGGCTTTTTGAGCTTAGCTATTTTTACTTGTCGGCTTGCCAACTCAAATGACAATTCTTTGAGTGTTGTAAGACGGACGATTAGCTTTGTCAGGCTTAGATATCGATGGAAAAGGTGTTTTTATCTTTAATTGAGTTCAGATTCTCAAACGTTTGGCATTTAATGATTGTTTATTGCAGATTTCAGATTTCAGTATTTCTGTCTGTGGAAACATTAATAATTACTCGGCTTGGCTGTGCACTATTGAAAACATATAAACATATATATAAGCGGGAGTGCATAAGGAAAATCATTGGCGGGCCGACAAGACTTTGTTGGAAGAGCAGACAAATGCAGCCCAGGCAAACAACACACAAATGGTTTCTAGATCGATAAACTTTGCAAGGAGCACACAGTTTCTGTGTTTGTGTGTGTTGAACCTGCCACGCCCACATCCTGGATGCTATAGCATAGACAATAAATTCGAAGAAAAGGCAACACATTCATCGAGTGGCAACATCAAAAGAAGAAAATTGTCGAGCTGAAGTTGGAGTACGAGCACAGCAAGAGGAAAAGGACAGTGCCAAAGAGTGGAAGTGGAAGTGGAACTGGGTAAGGGAGACGAAGAAAAAAAACATAGTGAAAACTGAAACCAAATACCCAAACACAAAATGGCAGCTCTTTAGCTGCGATTTATATTTGAAATGCCTTTGGTTGGCCATTGAAGCGGCAAATGCTTTTGCGGCATCGCCTCAAATGGAGCGAGGAGCCTCAAAGAAAAAAAATAAATATATGTATATATATATATATATATATATATATTGCACCAAAATTTATTCATCGACGGCAGTTGCAACTTATTTTTATGCCTGTTAATTGTCAGGCGAGCCTGCCTGCTTGCCATCTCCGCTGCGAGTCGGCACTTTGCATACCCAAATGTCAACTTTTGCCATTTTGGCCAACTTCACACCAGGCGGCTGGCAGCTCCCAGGAGTTGCTTGTCTGTGCCCTTCCGCTCCATCTACCCCTAGTCGCCCATATGTGGGCATCATAAATATTTTCCAGTCCATTGATTTTTGGTCGCTGTGGATGCTGTCGATGTTGATGATGTCGGACGGACGAAGCAGCAGCAGCAGCAGCCGCAGCCGCAGCAGCAGGAGCATCTGATGCGTATATATCTATATAAATGCACTTGTGTTCCATACAACAGTTTCTGAATTATTTCAACAAACTTATTTGGCATTGTAATGAAATTGGCCAGAGCAAAAGTCTTAGATGTATATTTTTATATACATTTTTATTATCATCGGACAATTCTTTTTGTCATCTTCAATATGTTGTCAAGTTTTAGATACACTTATGACTTTTGTATGCCCCTAGTCCATTAGTTATTTTGTATGCCCCTAAAGATTTTTAAAATAAATATTTTTCTGCTACGCAATTTTGATAGGTTCAAGTATGACTCAAAGGCTAAAATAGCTAAATATATATTTATTTTCATATTGTTTTTAATTTAGTAAAGCATATTTATTTTCTTTTCATTTGATTATTTATTTATTTTAAATTTAGTTTATTATTTTATTTATTTATTTATATTTTCTTATATGACTTTTGAGTGCATAGTTTTGTGTTTTATTTCACTGATTGGTTACATATTTTTATATATAAATAAATGAATATTAAAATACAAAATAAGAAAAAATTCGAAATTAAATTTGTATCTTTAATGTCTACTTTATTTAATTATATATGTTATATATATGATTTTTTAATTTTTTTTTTAAACATTTTTCTATTGTATATATTTTATATATTGTTATATTTATTAATTTAATTTTTTTGTCAAAAGTATTTAAATTTTTATAAAGTATATAAATTTTTTAGTATACACTCTTATTATTAAGTTATTTCATTTTTTATATTATTTTTAGTTTTATGTAATATGTTTTCTACAAATATTTATTACTTTCTAATGATTTTTTCTTAGCTGTCGAAATTGTGAAGTTAACGATTTTAAAGTCACTCCCAAATGAATATTTACCGTTTTGTCATGTGCCACGCATACGCTGCCGTTTCTACTGTCCACAAATCTCACCTCTCCGTTGTTGCATGGTTGCCTCGCTTGCTCTTTGGCCAGGCTTTGTTTTGTTTTCAGCGACACTTGATTGCCTTTATGCGTGGTGCCGTGCGTCAGTCAGGCTGACGCGGAAAAGTATGCTACACGCCAAATAGACTCAAATTATGTTGTCCTGCGGAGAGTGTGCGACGTGTGTGTGCTTGGCCATTGTACGTACGCCGTTTGCCTAACGTTTTTTTATGCCAGCAAAACAATTTCATGTGCTTCGTTCATAAATATTTTTGCTCAAGTTAATTGAAACATTACCAAAAAATGCTTGTCGGCAAATATTGAAATATGACCCACCCCAATGGACTGTATATGTGATGTATTATTGGCATAAAACATTTCTTTATATTGATTTACTCGGAACTGCCTCTGTTTTGTTTGGCTGTGATTGAATGTGAATCCGGAGGAAGTCTTTACTTTAAAAAAACCCTTAAAAATATTGCAATTTTTAAAGTAATTTTGTATAAATTATTGTATATAAATAGATACTGAATATTGCAAACTTTAATTGAAAATTTTCAATTGAAAGATTTGTTCTTAAAGCCCTGATTGGTAACAACTAATATAATATAATATAATATCTATATCATATGGCGCCTTCAACTGATGTGAGGAACATGCCGATTATAGAGTTGTATTTAATTACTGCAAATGATTTTTACTGAGTCGAAATGCAGAGCATTTACAAGCAAAGATTGCTAAAATACGTTTCTTGAAATATCTTAGAACATGAATTTTTTAATTGCTTTCACTGTTTCATCAATATCATTAATACATTTAGCATTACGCATTTAAGCGCTCGCCCTTCATTTTTATAGCTATGTTTTGCCCTTCGTCTCTTCTTCTTTCTCTGGTCCTGTACCAGCAGTCTCACAGACAATTTCATGGATGCATTCGGCCACATAATCTAAATTTTTATAATTCAAGCCGCAGACATTTATCCGACTAGAGCTGAGTAAATAAATATGCTTCTCCACTGTGAGCTTTTTACATTGTTCCGCTGTCAGAAAAGTAGATGAGTTCAGCAGAGATTTCACCTGTAGAAATTAATTTCACTTACGATTCAAGCCTAAATATGCAAACATTCCCTTTCCTTGGGTAATATGATCCCATGTGCCTGGTGTACCGAGATCGTTGAGCTTCTTAACCAATTGCTCTCGCATTTTCCTCACGCGCTCTGACATTTTGTCAATGGTATTTAGCCTGCATTTGAGAAATCTCCTGTTGTATAAATTCCCTTTCTTTTTGAGCTTCACTTACCATGTAGCTCTATTGTGTTTGTTACCTAGTACCTTTACGATTACTTTACTGCCTATAGTTGGTGGATTTGAGTAGGCAACTCGAATGAGATTGGTTATCTCCGAAAAGACTGCCGCCGCATATTTTTGATCGCTTACCACGGCTATTAAATTGCCGATGCGTTCATCTAATCAAACAGAAAATCGAGCATTTAGTAAAGAGAAATAAGGATCCCAAAGACACTTACTGTAGAGTCCCATGTTTTTGGAAAACGATAGTGCTATCAGTGTTTCATGGCCATGTTTGACGAAGTGTCGAATTGCCCAGGCATCGCGATCCGGGTTCCCGCTCGACATCCCAATATATGCCGCATCAAAGAAAGGGAATAGGTTACGCATCTTCATAACTTCAGCAATCTGTTTCCATTGCTTCTTTGAGGGATCCAAGCCTGTTGGATTGTGGCCCGACGCTTGGAGCATTATTACAGCGCCCTCCGGTGCTTGACAAAGTGCGGCCAAGAGCTTGGCGATATTAATTTTCTTATTTTTGACATTCCAGTAGGGATATGTCTTGAATTGCTTGAATCCAGCCGTCCTTAGAATATTGACATGATTGCCATACGTAGGATCGGGTAAGAAACAGAGTCGTTTCTTCAAATGATGACATAAGAGCTCAGATCCTAGTCGGAGGGCACTGGTGCCCGCAATTGTGTGCGCTGAAACAGTCTGAAAAATTATAATTATTTGATGATCTAAAAAATAAATATAGATATATATATATGTATTTATATCTAGTTGGGCTCACGCGCTTCTCCTTAATTGCCTTGCAGTCTTTGCCCAGAACAAATTCGGTCGCCACCTGGGAAAATACTGTATTGCCCATTATAGGTAGATATTCATGATTCAAATAGGGATTCTGAACAACTTCGAGCAGGCACTGTCTGACGATTGGCAGCACGAAAGGTTCGCTGTTCTCAGTTCGATAGGCTGGTGCAAAGCAGTGACTGAGAGTCAGCATTTAGCAACGGAGTTACGGACTTACCACCAATGCCTAAATTTACTTTTTTCTCATACTTGTCCTCTAGGTAGAGGTTTCGCAAGTGGAATACCTCAACCGGTTTTGTTTCTTTAAGATCTGCAAATGCTGAATCTGTGCCAATCTTCGCGTCATTGTATCCATGACAAGCAATTTTTAAAACTCTGTAAGACAGCCGTGAGCATTCTAAAGATTTTATGACCGCTAAGTTGGTTTCTTACTCTGCTCTCTGAGCTATTTTATTAGCAGTTAAGCTAAGCATGGCGTAAAATACCGAAATGTTAATTTGGATGTGAAAATTCGAAATATAATTTTTAATTCATGTTAGATAAAACATATGTTCTCAAGTGACACTGAAGCAAAATACGTGTCACTTTAACCTAGGAATTGAAGTCAAAGTGTACTCTACTCTATCGTTTTCTTAAGATTGTAATCATCAATCAGCCAAAGTGATTGTTAATCTGAGTTGTATTTAATTGCCTGCGACCCGATACTGATAAATTTGCTTACGATTTTGGTTTGTTTATGGTGCAGGCTGTAGCATCTGACCACAGCAAGCCGCTGCCTTGTTTGTTTTATACTCTACCCACAGCAACAGCAACAGCAATAACTGGCGAAACAACAACAATTTGTATGCTTTCATTGCGTATACGTTGCTGCTGCTGCTGCTGCGGCTGCTGCTGTGGCTGGCGTTGTCTTCATTGTTTGGATTTTAGTGCTTCACATGGCAGCCGAACTATTTGATGCGGTGTGGCGTCGGCCAGTGAGGCGGAAGCAAATCAGAGCTGAACTATGACAATGTTTACTCTAGGTTTTTAAGCTACATGCAGCTAGTCTATCTGGGTCATAAATTTGGTTAATTGTTGGGCTAACTCGCTTGAATTTCCTTTAGACTGATTAACTGCACAGTTTGCAAATGCTTGAAGTATTTGAAGTGTACTTTTTAGCTGAGCTATGTCCATGGGTTCAGAATAATATATGAAATGGCTTGCCAGCTTGTTAAACAAGCTTGTCAGGCATCGCATTTAAGCTGACACTGCTGAGCAGTAACAGTTACTATTACAGCTGCTGCTGTTGCTGCAGCTTCCCTTGTCGCTTGACCTTATCCATAAAATGTTCGCATTCCGTTTCCGCTGCACTCGACTCGACACGACCGCAGCGGTGTGGCGTGCTTAATGGCCTGGCATTGTGGGAACGTGGAAGCGGGGCAAACGCAGGAAATCATTTTTGTAAATATTATGCCCACACGCACACTCACACACACACTTGCACTCACCCATGGCAGCTATCAGCTCTTGCTCGTCCTTGCTCATCAATTGGCGCAGACGCTGCTGCGCCTGCAATTTATTTTTTATGCATGAACTGTAAATGAAAATTAAATTGGCTGTGCGCGACTACACGTTAGAAACGGTGCGTTTTTTTTTTTGTTTTTGTTTGTCCAGTGCGTGCCACGCGGCGTATGAATAATGCAAATGGCCACGGCGACTCAACTTGAAAGTTCGCACTGACCTCCGCCGCACACTGCGTGCCGCTTAACGTTTTATTTATTATCACATATTCATATGAGGCTTTTATTTTGTGTTTTTAATTAAGTTATAAAATATTAATTTGCTCTGTGCTGTGGGCAACGTTGCTGTTGCTGTCGCTGCCGCCGCTGCTGCTGCTGTGGTTGACATGCATTTTGTGGTCTTACTGCTGCAGCTCTGCGGCAAGTCGCTGCCTTCTTCTGTCTACCCGCTGTGCCGCCCTGCCACTGGCAGACGCAGCTGCCGTACCAGCCGCGGCAGCGACTCAGGTTTATGTGCGCGCTCGAGTTTATGGTGTTGGCCAACGTATTCAATATCGCTGTCAGCCAGCGCAGTATAAGTTTCTGCTGCTGCCGGCATTTTACGCGTCATTTAACCCATTCGATTTGGGTTTCAAATGCAACAAATTCTCGCTGCTTCGCCGCCAGCTGCTGCCTGCGCCCGTGCTTCAGTAAACAATGGATTTACGTTGAACCTGGCAACGGCTGCTGATGGCCTGTCGTGAGGGCAGACAGTGAAAGAAAAAATAAACAAAGTAATTTGTGATACACTTTGGCTGCCTTTGGGGCAAATCTTAGTTAAATTATATACAAGTCTTTACGACAGCCCACTCAGACATCTTCTAGCTATTGCATGCCTCTCAGTTTGCCATTGTAATTAGCGCTGCTTAAACCTCTTCTTTTATGATTTTCTGCCATCAATTGCTGCGCAGCAGTTCATAGAGCTCCGGCATAAAACACTTGCCAGTCAGCTTATCTAGCTGTCTTCATTCAGTTATTCATTGACAACTTTATAATCCTTTGTATCTGTTAATCCCGCATCACTTCTTCCGGCACATCGTCCATGCGCTTCCTCCGCTCAATTCTTTTCTTCATTTCGCCATTTATCCATTTTTTTTTTAATCTTACAATTCCACAACCTAACCCAACTTTTATTGTGCTGGCTCTGGCTGCAGCGGACTTAAACATGACAGCTGTCATATGTTGCTATTCCATATCACATTTTATAGCATTTTTTTTTTTTTGCTGATTTTTTCTGCCAACATTCCGCTCAATCTAAGCTTTGTTTTGTGGCCTTACGCTTTATTTTCCGCTTCTGCTATTCTTCGTATCACAACACTTTTACGCACAGCACGTGCTCAGTCAGTGTGTCGCTCTCTCACTCTCTCTCTCTCTCTCTTTTTCTCTGCTTTACGCTCATTCAGTTGAGCTTTTGCTGTCACTTGTGCGCACTTAAGTTGTCTCTCTCTCTCTCACAAGCTGGCTGACTCATTCTCTTTTGGCTGATTGGAAGCTGAAACATTTACTGTATTTTTTCTGCACGTTTTGTTGCTGCTATCGTTGTTGTTGTTGCCCTTTTCATTGTTTCTGTTTTGCTCTGTTTCACATGTTTCAGCTGTGCCACATTGAGCCCATGACTTTGGCAGCGCATGGAACTCAACTCGGCAGCCGAGCACAGCAACTGATGCCTGCTTGCATTTAAAAATAAATTATTGTGGCAACAAACACACACACACACACACATTCACACATATAAATATGCCTAGTTGAAGTCCTTTATTTTAGTCATAGTTGCTCTTGGGCGTGCGTTGAACTGTTGACCCAAACACCTGTCTAGATTGCGGCCTGCGATTGTGCCTCGTAGCTGTTGTTGTTGTTCTTTAGGGGTCGTCAGTTGACTTGTATTTTCGTCACATTTCAAAAATAGTTTTTGGGTTCCGGTGCGGCTCGAGCTCTGCTTAATTTTATTACTCCAGTTGGGAATTTTGGCCTGTGACACAGTGCGGAAAATTAAAAGGGTTTATGGCTTTATAGATAAGTGGTCGTACGGGGAAATGAATAGATCCGCCACGCAGACACACTGACATTTGTTTTTATCAGCGGCTTAGCTACTGACTTGAAGAGGGTCTACTTTGGTGAGTAAGAAATTCTTAGAAATTGTGAATAAGTCTTAGTAGCAGCGAGGACATATTATATTTTTATATCAACTCAATTTATTAACTTACAATTTCATTGAATTGTTTAATATTTTTAACATAGTTTTCCATTTCTAACAACTAGTTAGGTGCTCAATATTAAATTTCGCTCGTAGCATAACATATTTTTTCAAAATAAAATAAGCATTATCAATACCTGTCAATGGCAGAAACTGCCAATTGAGCTCAATCAACTGCTAAAAAAAAGCAGCAACAATGGCAACAGTCTAAAATAAAGAGCCCCGTGAAAGCGTGCACTATAATCATCATCAGCAGCTTCATCATCGTCGTCAAATGATGACATATCCCTGGCTCACGTTTCTCGTCTATCGTCCATCGACGAGCGAGCAGCAAAGCAGTTCATTAATGTTTTTGTCCGCCATTTAGTCTGCATCTTTCCATCCGCTTGGCCGTCCCCTTTCTATGCACAGGTCTCCGCATCGCGGCTGGCCCATCGTTACGTCAAGTACTTCAATTATTTGCTGTGCTTTCAGTTCAGCCATTGAATAGAATTTAACGCTCATTGTTTGGTCAGCCAGCGTCGTGGGCGGCTCCATTGTTCGGCGCTAATTAAAGGAATTTTTTAGCAGGTGTTTGCGGTTGTTCCTCAACGTTTTTCGGTATCGGCTGCAGTTCCATTGTGCTGGCCGGTGGCAAAGGTGGAACACGTACTTCTGTTTCACACGTTCGCTTTTCAGCCCGTTTCAGCTAATTGAATATGCATTTTAATGGCATAATTTCTGTGTGTTTTCTCTCCCCCCTCTCTCACTCGCTCTCTCTCTCTCTCTCTTATAGCCAGCCATATTGAGTCACTCAAATGAACCCAAATGAACTTTTTGAGGGGCGGTGCAAACAGTTTAAGGCCTAAAAATGGTTTTGTTCGCTTGTCTTTGTTGTTGCCATTCTGCGCGTTGGCCCAGAAAATGTTGTTTTTTTTTTCCTTCTTTTATTTTTGCTTTGCATAAACTGTTTTTCGAAGCAACAAAAAGAAAAAGAATAACAAATAAGCAGAAGAAGTGTATATAACAAAATCGGCGGTTTTTAAATGGTCCTCCGCCTACCGTGGCGTAAGTGCCGCCCGTTGGTGTCTTTGACAGTTAACGAAGTGTAAATATTTGTATAAAAGCGCCAGATATTCTTAGCACTTGGCTGCATCTGATGTCGACGCCCCCAGCGCCGATATATTTGTAATTGCTTTTCTCTGTGCATATCCAAGTACTTCTAATGTGTCTATGACAGCGCGGCCGCAGCCAGCAGGAAGTGATTTGTCGACCAGAAAAATAATGGCAAATAGTAACAGCTGCCTTAAATTCTTAAATAGCTTTAATTCAGAATAAGGCACAGCTCTTTGATTTGTTAGAGCTTTGCATATGTTAATATTGCAGACAACCTGGCGTATGAGCTATTTGGCTTGTCTTAGAGGCTGCCAATAGGACCGCAGTGTAACCTGTAATGGTTTCACGGCTAGACACTTTAACAAGCTGCCGCGTCCACCACATACATATTGGAGCAGTGCCGCACCACAGCGCAGCCACTTACCGACATAAGCATTTTGTAATTTCAATATAATTTTGTTGCCACACGTATTAAGTATACGACGCATTGCGCTTGTGGTATTTTGTGTTTGCCTATAATGTGTATGAGTGTATGCGTATGTGTGTGTTGTGTATTTGCTGCAGCTGCTTTTGTTTGCTAATATAATATTTTGTAGCATGCTTTAGTAGCAGGAGCAGCAGCAGCAGGCAGCAGTTGCCTGGAATTTTTCTACTTAAGAGTATTTTGTGCTTAGCTTTGCAGTTCAGTCAACTTTTGCTTGGCTACCTGCGCAAAGAACAGTGTCTAGACGAAGCACACGTA